CTGTTTAGAGCAACGGTACTTTAAGTATGTATCTAAAAATAATCTAAACACAGGCTATGCTACTTACGCCAGTTTCTGCCTGTGCTTTCATTTTAGAAAACACGCTCATAGGCTGCAGAGTGGGCGGAGCTTCACCCTGGACTCAGTACAGAAAATGGCCACCAGGTTAGGACCTGCACACAACAAACAGGGTATCTTCTGGGGGCACTCCAGACACAGAGAACCCTCTTTTCTACCAGTAATGTAAATCTTGCTTCCCAAAGTATTTGTCTGCTGAGTGCCACAGTGACTAACCACCAGAGCTTTTACTATCTCCCTGAGCAAGGGAGCCCCGTGGGAAAAAAACACGTTATTTTTAATGCAAGATGGTTGTTCGGATTAAAAGGAAAACTTCTATTTAAACTTTACAAAAGAAAACCACGCTGACAAGGATTTCTGAAGAGACGTGCAGAGTATTTCGCCAGAAACTCTATAATCTTAAAGTAGTCAGCTCTATCGAAAAACAAACAAAAACCTCTTTTAATTGGGTTCCTGAAAAAAAAATGCAGAAACAAAAAGACAAAGACAAATGCTGAGAAATTAAAGAGATACCAAAGCAGGGTAGGAATTCACTCGGAAGTATATTTCTGTTTAGGAAAGGGCGTGTCTGTGCAAAAAGTCAACTCACAGTGAATGGGGCCTAAGGACACTCCAGAGTCACTAGACCTTGATGTGGGTGGGTGGGAGGATGAAGGTCAGGGTTGTTTTCTTCACCCCAGTTAGCACAGGCCCTGAGGACAGCCAGGGCTCTAATGCCCGCCTGGGAACAACTCCACTCAGGCTGCCCTTCAGTCATCCACATTAGCAGACTGATCCTTCCAGCATTTCCCATTAAGGCAAACGTGAAACTCAGTTAAGCCATAGGAAGGGTGAACACATACGGAAGGCGTGATTCAATAGCAAGCACTAAGAGGGTATGACGGTGACACTTCCATCAAACAGATGTGTGATTCAGCACTGAGGCAGTACAGAAAATGGCTATTTGAGTCATGTCAGGGACCACAAGACCAGAAGACGCATGCTTAAGCAGAAAGTGCGGTGTGTTTCTAAAAGAGGAAATCCTCATTTGCATGTAGGAGCCCATTATAATCCTCTTAGAGACTTCTGGGGTCACACAGACACACTGAGGTTTGGGAAGGGGACTGTGCTTACACTGATTACAAATATCCATCCATCCATCCATCCATCCATCCATCCATCCATCCATCCACATGGATTATATAAACAAGAAGCTTTTGAGCACAGACGCATCTCTTATTGAAACAGGATCTGAACCAGCACTTCAAGTGTTAGGCTTATTCTTTCTTCTGCTTCTTAGAAATTGCCATTTGGTAATCTTCACCTGCAGTCATGGTAATTCTTGTTTAAAACAGAGATTCCCTGGTTCCACCCCAAACCTACTAAATCAGACAGTCTCAGGGCCCAGAAATCTACATGTAGATCAGATGCCCAGGTGAAGTCTTTTTACTTACTTATTTATGTATAACAATTTTCCTTTAAAAGATCTGGTTTTATTTTACATGTATGAGTGTTTTGTCTGCATGGATGTATGTGCCCTGCGTGCATGCCTAGTAAACGAGGAGGCCAGAGAGGGAACCGGATCCCTTGGGATTGGAGATACAGTCCCTTGTGAACCGCCATGTAGGTGTTGGGAACCAAACTCAAGTCCTCTGCAACCACTAGAGCCATCTCTCCAGATGGCCCTGATGAAGCCTGATCCATACTACACTCCTGGTCACTTCAATACACACATGACAGAACAGTAGAACGGGAAAAATAAATATATTAAAATGAACCAGGAAGATACAGCTTCTTGTGCAGATCCACCTTAGCATAAATTTACATCTGTGTATCAAAATAGACCAATATAAGCTTAGGATGGAAAAATTCAGACTTACAGGGACTTCACTTAAGTCACAAGTCTGGAAAACGGCCCAGCTAGTCCATGAGACTGGCTTTATCTGACTCCAGTATCCTCATTCCATTGTATTAAGATCATATGCTCAGAAAAAGAGATATATTATTTAATAGATATATGGTAAAAGGCAATAGAATTAAGTTACTTTTAGAAATTTTTTGCAACAACAGAAAGTTTCTTTTTGTTAATTCATTCTTTAGGAGAGATTCTCTGATTTGTCTGCTGATAATGGAATACACTATCAAAACCACATTTACCAACCTGAATTTAGTAATGAGAAGTATGTTTGGGAGCATGCTAGGGTCAATGATTTATGCAAGATTTATTCTTGATTTGGGCAAGCTATAAATGTGTGCAAACAAAACCACTTAGTATTCATGGTGCATATCACATTACATACCACACTGTGGGCAAAGCAAAATGCCCATGAACATATAAAGAACCTCCTGTCAGTCTCATACTCTCGGGCCCATCCCCCCTACTCCAGGGCCCAGCAAAAGCCACTTTCCAGAGGCTTCTCTGAGGGTCTTTGCTCTCTTGACAGGAATCTTTCTGTCTCCTCAGGTCATTTCTTTTCTTAAAAAGCTCCACAGTCAATCAGTTCTTCCTTTACTGTAAGGAAAAGCCTCCTCTCACCTTTTCATTTCCTCCTGTCCACCAACAACCCCTGAGCTGGCCTTCCCCTCCCTATGGAGTCCTGAGCCCCATCTGGGTGAGAGACAGCAGCTTCAGTGTTTTATACACAGTAATCCCAGGATGCAACTCGTCACCTCCCTCTCAGGGTCACCATGGCACCAGGGCTCTGGGAATACCATGCCAGCTCCTTCTCCAGTGAGACAGCTGACTGCCGTTTCTTCTCATCTTACCCCTCACAACCCTGACTGGACACCATCGACTCCGGGCCAGCCCCTTCCCTTGGTGGACTGCAGCAGCCCTCTTCCTGGGTCTTTTCCCAACCTCCTCTAAGCTATGCACAAGAGCAGGCTCCTATGCACAGCCGTGACATTTCCTTGTTCAAAGAGCCTTAATGACACCATTGATTAACACTTTCCAATTTCCTACTTGGCATTCAAGACCATTATTGTTCAGCAACAAATATTCTCCAGTTCTATTTCCCCCTGGATGCCTGTATAGACCAGTTCTAACTCAACTGGACTTGATGCTTTTCACAGAATACGCTCCATGCTTTCTCACTCTTCCTCTATTCCCATTTCAAATGCCTCCTCAAATTACCACAATGATTTCTTTTTACATTTGCTGCCTAGACACACACACACACACACACACACACACACACACAGAGGAGTGAGTGTGTGCATGTGCATATGTGTGTGTGTATTTCTTGTTGTTTTTTCATGTGCTATTAACAGTCTGAGAGAGAAATGCCAGTTGTTTTTCTGCTGAATTCCCTAGTCCCTCTAGCAGGGTCATACTTACGGCAGCTACTTAAATATTTGCTGCATAACATTTACGGAACTTCATAAATGCACGAACCATGTGGACACTTGTGATCTCATTTCTTTTTATATGAGACCTATGCTGTAACAAGCGGCAGTCAGGTCACGCAATCTGATTTCTAGTGCTTACTGCAGTTCCTGGGGCCGCCTTTGGCTTCCTATGGCATTAACCAAACAAAAGTGTTTGTGTTTCTTCAGTTCCTTTATTTTAGAATGCCCATAGTCCTCTGCTCTACAACGCTGAAAGAGATAGTTTTGAATTGAAAAGTTCTCTCGTCAGACTGCATCTCTTCCCCTGCCTATGGGCTACAAATAAAAATGAAAAAGGCCTCCATTGCAAGTGACAGGAATGGAAAAATGAAATATTTCAAATTAGATTTTAAGAGTCTGAAAATGAAAATGGCATAAGTCAATCTCCAACATTCTTAAAGTTGATTACCAACAGAAAACCACTGACATCTGGACAAATAGTTCCTTGCTAAAAGACTGGACACGACTAATATAATTATAAAAGTATAATAATCTTTTTGAACACCCAAGAATCTCAGGGAAGTTCAATAAAAAATAAATGAACCCAGAGGCCAGCATATTGTGTATAAATTGAAAGCATAAGTTTAATAGACATTAAAAGTGGAAAATAAAGAAAACTCAGATTGAAAAGCAAGGACTTTGAAATGCCCGTTATTGTAGCCTGTTCCTGTGTCAGTGGGCATTGTGCGGCTGCTGCACCAGCAGTAAGAGAGAGTCACAACTGAGGGGCCTGGCCCTCCAATTCTGCCTCTTTGGACTTCAGGTAGAAGTTAGACTGCAAGCTTCTGGAGGACCGCCGTTTAACTCTGTGGCCCCAGCAAAGCACTGTGTATACAGAATATACCAGAAAAGTGAGCTGGCTGCCCAGCCTTCCACGACCCGCCACCGTTTTTCATCTCAGTCCTTTAAACCTCTTCTTCCTCAACTCTTAGTACCGTTCAGGAGTAAATTATTAACACACTGTCTGGCACATAAACACATACAACCATTTGACAAATGGGACTTGTTACTGCCACCACCTAGGCCTTTGTAACCGCCTCCAAGGTAGAGCTTAGTGTGCTGGGCTGCCAATACATCTATGTGAGAACTGGAACTGTCTCTTCAGGCTTGTGCACCCACAGCTCACAGAGGGTTCACCCTATGTCGAGTGGAGAGGCTGGCTATGCATCTGGGAAATATAGTCCTGCCTTGACCTCAACCCACTGGAGGTAACAATAAAAACTCATTTGAACTCTCTGGGCTTCTGTCATGTTTTGGGGGTCCTTATGACTTGAGGAAGCCACCGATCTATCAAGACATGTACAAAAGCTCATAAAAGCTACCTACAGAACTAACACGAGGAGTCAGTTGTCTTGAAGCCCTGTTTTCTGGATCTCCCTCGCCACAGGGGCCTGGCACACCACGTGATCTCAATAACAGACTGTTGAGAGTCATGGAAATTTTGCAGTACACAAACCTGGCAGGTAGAGATCATGATTCAGACACCTTCAGGAATCTTTCAAAAACTGCCATTTCTTATTTCATGTAGCTTAAGGGAAGACGCACATTTTTGTTACCTCAGTTAGAACACACCAGCCTTGACAGAGTTAGTTTCTGTGCCTTGGCAGAAATCACTTGGGAATCCTCGTTTCTGAGTCCTCCATCTCCTTCACATCAAGATCTAAGAGGAGACAAAAGTGCAGAGTTTCAGGACTAGTTTCTAGGATTCAGTATTGCTGCCACACAAGTAATTGCAGTCAGTATATGGGGAGCGCCTCCTGAATGCACTAAGGGCAGTCAGAGGATGGGTAAGCTCTGTAATCCCCCTCAGTCGTAGGGAACATTGACCCACTGCCACCAACCTGTTGCTGGAGGTCACACAGTTAAGTGAGCTCTGGGGCTCAAACCCTGGTTAATTTGAGTGCAAAACACTAACTTGGGGTCTTAAAGGCTCTTTTTGACAGTGACCCATTTTTTTTTTTTACAAATCATGTTATATAAGCCAGAGGCTTCATTAGCCAATACACATCTTCTCTACGTGCAGTGCTTACTCTTATTTTTGTCTTTTCTACGGTACCTTATATTCTAATGTTTTAAACGATTTTCAGCAATGACCCACCAAAGGGATTCTACTAATGCATGCGTTGTTTGGTCTTGGAAAAACACTGGTTTGTCAGGCGGTGCAGAAGAAGTCTGTAATCCTAGCAGTCAGCAGACCACTGCAAGTTCAAAACCAGCCTGGGTTGCGTGCTTATTGAACGTTCTAGGCTCCTTAGCGAGACCCTGTCACAAAACAGAAACTCTGCTCTTTGATCTTAGCTACAGTAAGTCACTAGAAGTTTCTCTGGAACCACAACAAAACTCCCCTTCTTTCCAGCCACGGGAACCGGAGCGAGCACTTGAGCTTCCCAGTTAGAACAGTGTTCAACCTTTCACATAGGTATACAGTACATAAACGCATATCATCTAGAATAGATCATTAGAAGGGATTTTCAATCAGGCCCAAAGTCCAGAATGGAATCAGGCACTTACCCTCCGCGAAGTCGGAGTTATAAAGTGGAACCGCAGACAGGCTAAAATCTCAGGTTGTTTATCAGCTTAACCTGCAAAGAAGTGTCTAACGGCGGGCGGCGGACTGTTGAGTTGTCCCAACAGACCGAGGGCTGCAGGAGCAGCAGGAGGCCGAGGCTGCAACCCCCTGGGGGCAGGGCCCTGTCTTTGCACGTCCGGTTCAATTGCTGGGGCTTAGTGTCGCGCCGGGTTCTCATCGAGATCCGGTAGGATCAGGACGCAGTTCGGGTCCGCGCTTCAGGGGAAGGGAGCTGCTGCAATCCCGAGCGGTTCCCGAGCCCCAGGTGCGCGTCAATCGGCCCCCCCTCTCCCCCCGCGCGGCTGGGCCTGGTGGGGCGGGACGCTCCACCTGCGGACGCTGACTGCTCGGCCGGCTCGGCGTCCGCGGTTGCGGTGAGCGCTGCCCACTGGCTCCCGGCTCCCTCCCGGAGATGCGCAGACCCCCGGGCACTTACGGGGCTCCGTCGCCGCCCGCGCGCTTCCCGCGGGGTCCATGGAGCTTCCGGGCCCGCGAGTCCGGCCGCAGCGCCGCCCAGAAAATGGACGCCGGCGGCTGGGCCTGGACGCCCGTTCCACCCCCGGTGCAGGCCCGAGGGCGGCCAGACCTCGAGCGGACACACAGGCCCCAGGGGCGCTGCGGGCGGCGAGGCTCCAGCCCCCGGCGCCACCGCGGCAGAACCGGCTGGGACAGGGCCACAAAGCAGGCCCTGGCCACCGGACGCAGGCCTCGCGCTCCGGGGCCCTGTGTGCGGTTTTAGCCGCACCAAATTCTCAGGAACGAGGTGTCACCCGTGCTTTCCCATGGCTGTCAGGGGAGGCCTAGATTTTTCCTCAACATGGTGTAAGAACTGTCTCACTCAAAAGAGCGGACTCTCTTCTCCAGATAAAGGCCACTGACTGTTCTATGGCATCCTTCCTCCACCAACTCATGGAGTGTGGCGCTTACTGCCTCATGCACATCCCAGGTGCAGGTGTTTTGATTTCAGTCATGAGTTTCTTTATTTTTCTCTGGAAAAGACTCACTCCCAGGTTACACCTTAAGATTTTGAAAAAGGATATTTTCCTGGAATACAGTGCTTGCACCCTGATTCCTGTCCAAGCGTTAGGAATGTGATCGTTTTTGGTGAGTGGAGTAGATTTTAATAGTATGTGCAAAGTAAAACATCTTAAATGATGCAGGAAAGAATGGTGTCATTTAAAAGCACGGTTGTGGAGGCTGATGGGTTGAGCAACACGCATAAACATGTAAGGAGCAGTTCCCAGCCTCCTCAATGCCAAGAACCCTTTTATTCTCTCTCTCTCCCCATAGGCCAGTGTTCAGAAAAATCAACTCCACTAAACTGCATTTATTAAGCAATGATTCATCTTCCCCTTTAAAAAAAAAAAAGCCTGCAATGTTTTTGTCTACATAACTGCCAATGAGAACTTCCACAAAACCTGAGCTAACTTGTTGGTAGTGGTAGATTCCAACTTTAAAAACAAAACCAAAGAAACTCATGGTCTAATTGCATGTTTGTATGTTTCCACTGAGGCTTTTGGAAACTCTGAAGTTTTGAAAACTTCAGGGAAAACTGATGTTCATAGAAGAGTCTGTAAGCGATACTGCAGTTGGTGATCTCCTGCAACTGGCGGGTAGGAGGTGGAAAGTGGGGCAGTCTGGCCTTTTGGATTCAGCCTGCCTGTGTTGACAGCCAGGTTTGCTGCTATAAGGCCACATCTCTGGCCTTCAGCTTTGGTATCTAATATGAAACAAGTCTTAGTACTAATGCTTACCTCCTAGGTGTTTTTGTTTCATTTTTTAAATAGAATTAATATGTGTGAAACATTTACAGTAGCACCTGGCATTGTAAGTGCTCTGTAATCTCACGCAGGTGTGAGCGTTAATAGTGAAGGTTAACTTTAGGATGTTTGTTGTCTGTGGTCCGGGGTCCACTTTTCTCTCCTTGCTAATGTTTCGGGAGGTGACTCGATCAGGTGCTATCATCAACAGTTACAGTGAAGTTCAGCTCTGGCTTTCTTAAGAGTCTTAGCTTGTGAACGGCTCGTCACCAATACCAGGGCATTTACAAACAGTTGCATTTTTTCCTTATTGGAGCCAAATGTTTCTCCAGAAGCAAATAGATTTCCTCAAATTGTTATTAATAACTAAACTATCACAGCAATAACCTAAAAGTTACATAATCAGCTAGTCCTTCAAAATTTTCCATCCTCTCTCATAACCGGGCTGTCTCAATCATCATTCTGAGTATGGGAAACTATCTGGAAATTTCCAGAAACATCCCATCTTATCATAATTACACACTTTTCTGTAAAGGTTTTCTTTACAGAAATTTCCTTTTCTGAAATAACTACATGTGGTGTTTTCTTTGTAATAATTTCCATTTCAATGCATTTAAAAAAGGACGAAAGAGGAATCTACGACTCTACGTTTCTTCCTCTTAGACTTCTGTCTGCTCATCTTTGCTGCGCAGCTCCTGTGCCTTGTCCAGGAAGCTGTCTTTTGTTTAATACCCACACAATGTTTGTTATACTGCATGTGCTTTCTGATTAAGACTATGGGGCAGTTTAACACTGACTGCCCCCTTTTCTTTATAGGGCTTCAAGACAGCAACTAAAAAGACTAAAATCTTGCCTCTTTAAACAATCATCTTCTACAAGACAGCATTCTCAATTCTTCCAGTTTATAGCGAATATCATGACAGTCCTCAGTGCGTTCATATTTTGCCTGTGTGTATGCTACGTGAGGATACTGGAGCCCCTGGAACTGGAGTCACAGACAGTTGTGAGCTGCCATGTGGGTGCTTGAGATTGAACCCAGGTCCTCTGGAAGAGCAGCCAGTGCTCTTAGCCACTGAGCCATCTCTCCAGTCTGTCTTTCTGACTGGCTGCTTATTTCTTTTTTCCTTCAAGTCTTTCAGAGCTTCCCCACCCCTCTCATTTCCTATGATCTATCCCACATCCCTGAAGGCGCTGGGAATGTGATGCTGTGCTGACATGGACCACAGTCTCTGTTGAGGCATTTAGAGTTGAGGTGTCAACTTGCAGATAGATACCTTTGGGTACCTGCCAGAGAAATGTGTGGGAATACACATTCTAAGTGATGTGACCCTAACCTGCAGGAGGATTCTTGTTTCACACAGAGTGGGAATTGAGAGTTGAGTGACTGCTACTCAGACCCAGGCTAATTGTTAGTGGGAATGGGATAGTTCAAAGAAACCCCAAATCAGGATTTTCACACAAGACTGGTGAGATGTTGACCCCTCCCCTTAAAAAAGGCAGGGGGCAGGGAAGGCCAGGTGGTGGCGCACGCCTTTAATCCCAGCACTCAAGGGAGGCAGAGGCAGAGGCAGGCGGATCTCTGTGAGTTTGAGGTCATCCTGATCTACAGATTTTCCAGACAGCCAGAACTGTTACACAGAGAAACCCTGTCTGGGAGATGGGGGTGGATCTGACCAACAATCCTCTAGTCCTAGACCACCAATTTACCAGACATCTCTGTGGCAGGAACCCGTGACATTTCTTTTTAATAGCAATAGTAAGGATCAAAGAGAAAGAGGGAAAGTGTGTGTGGGGGGGTGTAAATGAAATTCAATGTACTATGAGAAGAACTTTGTGGAACTTGGAATTGTGCTTGTTTGTTTAATGACCTAATTGGACAAATTCATACATTGCCTATGAGACGTGGTAGCATTTGGCAGTATGTTATGATTCTGTAGCTATACATATTTCCAATAAAGTTTAAAGCTTTATTGTTTTTGTTATTTTAAGAAATATTTCAAGCTTACAGAAGAGTGGCAAGGATGCTGGAAAGTGTTTCCTGCTCTCTCCTTCCTTCCCTTCTCCCTCTCTCCTTCCTTCCTCTCTCCTTCCTCCCTCCCTCCCTTTCCCCTCTCTTCCTCCTACCTGAATCACTTGAAAGTTTCAAGCATTATTCTCTTTTAGCCCTACATAATTCATTTCTTTCCTAAAACAAAAATTTTTCTCTTAGAATTTTTCTCTTTTAGATAACCATATTCAAAGTCAGAGATAAAAAGATTTGAGGTATGAAAACCAGACTTAGTGGCACACAGTTTTGATCCTAGGACTTAGGAGGCAGAGACAGGTGGATCT